ACTCATGCTCTCTGTTTTTGACATGCAGAAGAAGTAATTATCCACGAATTTGCTAGTCTTTGCCTGGCAAACATGTCTGCGGAGTACACCAGCAAAGTGCAAATATTTGAGTGCGGCGGATTAGAGCCCCTCGTCAGACTGCTGAGCAGCCCTGACCCTGATGTGAAGAAGAATTCTATTGAGTGCATTTACAACTTGGTCCAGGTAAGATCAAGTGCTGAGAATGTGTCTGGACAAGAACTGATTATAGAATTTATTCTTTGTATATAAAAAGGGGAGATTTTTAAAACTCACTAGGTCTTCTTAGTTCTATTTAGTGGTTATTCAGAAAAAATATGGAAATTCAATGTAGGTACTTTTCATTTTTCACATCATCTGTTTCCCGTAAAAGGACTTTTGAGAAACATATTTCATGTAAAAGAATAGAATGACTTGCAAATTAAGGCAGATAAAATGTATTTCTTCTGAAACAGGAAGTCTTTATATTGAACTAGTTTAATCTGGGTGATGACATCTTGACTGGCTAAGTGATCCAAGCATGTGGGGTGCACAGTTCACCCTTGAGCATCGTAGGTGTTAGGGGTGCCAACTCTTTTGCTACCAAAAATTCAAATACAACTTTCCAGTCTTTCCAAACTGAACTACTGATAAACTGCTGTTGACTGAACCCTTACTGAAAAATCTAAGGAGTTGATTAGCATGTGTTTTCAAGTTATGTGTATTATATGCTATATTTTTACAAGCTAATAAGCTAAAGAAAAGATGATATTATGAAAATCACAAGGAAGTGAGTGCTGTGTTGTGTTTATTGATAACCAAAGTGAACCCATAGGTCACAACTCCAAGTTGCTATAATCACTAACCTTCAACCGGAGAATAGAAGGGAAAATGGACAAGCTGAAATGTGTTTATTTTGGGATAGCAAAGAATTGAAGATTGAGGTGCATGGATTTAGACAGTAACCTGAAATACGTCCAGAAGAGAGACCCAGGAAAGTTTTTATAGAGAGACAAAGATGAATAAGGTCATGGAGGATGAGGTCATGGGTGAGTGAATGGTCACTTGAAGGAGACACACAGTGTACGTGGACAGATGGAAGGCGTCACATGGTAAAAGAAGGGAAAGTTCTCCTTATCAGTTCTTTCAAATTGGATATTCTCCTTCTTGTTGGTTTCTTGGAATGTTGGTAGATTGATCTAGCCTAAGGGTTAGCTCCAGTTTAAAGATAAGAGTGAAGCAATTTTTTTTCTTCTCATCATTCTCTGGTCCTATTTTAATATGACTCCAGTTATTGTACTTTCCACATAATTCACTTTATACCAATAGTAAACTGCAACTTTTATGTCTGAAGAAACTTAGATATTAAAGCTGAATGGAAGGGCGGAAACAGGAAAGGTGAGCTGTAAGCGGGGCCCTTTCCCCCTCTAGTGTTCTTTTACATGCTGCCATTTAAGATGTTCAGTAGTCAGAGTTTGGGACTTTTCCTGGCTTTTTGCCTGGTTCACTCCATTGCTCACTCCACCCAACCCCTCTTCCCCAGAGTCACACAGAATTACAGACACAAGATACAAAACAGCTTGTCTAGACTGTAAAGACCCCTTCATATTATATGTGTTTTAAACAAAGGTCAGCATCAGAGCGAACCCTGATGTCAGATTGTGCAGGGCTGCCCAGGGGACCATGTGCTTATGAGCATTTCACAAACAGGCTGTTGGGTGAGGAGAATAAGGAATTGATGCCATCATCTAATCTTATCAAATGCTATTTGAAACAAAATATAGAGTGTGAAAAAATTATGTTATGCATAGACTTTATTATAATGTTGCTTATAGTAATAGGAATTTGCTGTTGTGACAAATGAATGATAGCTGCAAAAGTTATAGCTTATATATATATATATATATCCTTTTTTATTGACAATATCTGCACTATTTAAATGAATGATTTGTATTATCATTTGAGGGTTCTCTATTTTTATGAATTCTTTTTGAAAGACATTTGGGATAAAAGATGGAAAATTACAATTTCTGACTGTTAGAAAATATAATTTCTTCATTTTTGAGATGGTGTTTTTCCTTCACAGTTGCTTTCTCAATCGTTTGTTTCTTATGGCAGGATTTTCAATGTCGAACTACACTTCCAGAGCTAAATGCCATCCCTCCTATCTTAGAACTCTTGAATTCAGAATATCCGATTATTCAGCTGTTGGCTCTCAAAACCTTAGGTGTTGTTACAAATGATAAGGAGTCACGAGTACTGCTAAGAGACAATCAAGGAGTGGACCAGCTTATTAAGATCTTAGAAAGTAAGGTATTGTGTCATTCTTTTAACTCTCTATAAGGAAATAAATCTCCTGAAAGTTGTTATAAATTGTAGAATATTATAAAATGAAATTGAATTCTATTTAAGCATGATATTTAACATAAATGATTTGCTTTATGACACAGTTTATCAGCATGATCAACTCAAACACTAGTTAGGTGATTTAAAAATAATTTTTCTTTTCTTACTGAGATAACATTGTCCACAGTGTTATTTATATTTCAGAGGTATAGGCTCCCCCTTCAGGTATTTCTAACCACACCACACCCACCACTGAAACACCCATAGTCCTCCACCCATAATCCTCCACCTGACTCCAGAGTGCTCATTCTCCCTCCCTCCCTCCCTCTCTCCCCCCCTCTCTCTCTCTCACCTCAGCTCTAGTCAGACTCCTAGAATTTGTTGTTGATTTGGCTTTATCTGAACTTCTGTTTTATATCTTTATATTCTGTATATAAATGACAACAGATGCTATTTTTCTTTTTCCTTTAGACTTAATTCACTTATCATAATCACCATCAGTTCCATTCACATTATAACAAATGTCAAGAGCTTATCTTTTTAAATAGCTGACTACTCTTCCTCCATGTATAATATACTCACTCTTCTACCCATTCATCTGTATTTGGGTACTTAGGTTTATTACCACCATTGGCTATTGTAAATAATGCTGCAACGATGTAGGAGTGTCCCTTTTATCTGGTTTGTCTTCAGGTAGGAGTGGAATTATTTCATGATAGGGAATATTGTTAATATTTTGAGATATTGCCATACTATTTAGTGTGGGGGTTGGGCCAGTCTACATTCCCACCAGTAATATAGGAAGGGCTCCTTTTTACAACATTCCACCAACATATATTCTTTCCTATCTTTTTTATATGGGCATTCTTATATTTGTGAGGTGATATCTCATGGTTTTGATTTGTATTTCCCATGGATAAGCGATGATGAACTGTTTATCATGTGCCTCTTGGCTATCTATGTTTTCTTTGAAAGTGTGTGTTTAGCTCTTTTGCCGTATTTTGATTGGGTTATTTTGTTTTTGTTAAGTTATATGAGTTCTTTGTACCTTTTGGATGAGACCATTGTAGGATAGATGGTGAGCAAATGTTTTCTCCCATTCGATAGGGTGTCTGTCTTAGTGACAGTTTCTTCCTTATGCAGATTTTTTAGTTTGATGTAGTCCTAATTGTTTATATTCTCTGTTTTCCTTTTTATGACTTGAAGACAAATTGCAAAGACACCACTAAGTCCAATATTGTGGAATGTTTTGTCTATGTCTTCTTTTTTTTTATTTTATGGCTTTAGGTCTTACATCCACACCTGATCTCCATTTTTTAATTAATTTTTCTGGTATGATACATGACAGTGGTTTAGTTTCACTCTTTTGCATGTGACTGTCTAGTTTCAAACACCATTATTGAAGAGGCTTTCCTTTCTTCAGTGTATATTCTTGGCTCCTTTATCATAGATTAAATATCTATGTATTTGTGGGTATATTTCTGGACTCTAGAAACAGTGATGTTACTTAAAATAAATAGAGCTGTTTCCTTAAGTCTCTGTCACAACAAAATTAATCACATTATATTGTAACTGACTTCAGTCCTTCCTGCAGTAAAATTTGAAAGTATACATTTCTTTTAGCACAATTCTCTATAAAGTTTTGTTTGCTTTTATTATTAGGACTTGAGTGACCTTCACACAGAAGCGCTGTTAGTGATAGCCAATTGCCTTGAAGATAGTGATACTATGATGCTGATTCAGCAGACTGGGGGTCTTAAGAAGCTCCTGACATTTGCAGAAAACTCTACAATTCCTGATATTCAGAAGAATGCAGCAAAAGCAATCACTAAAGCTGCATATAACTGTACGTCTCATTTCATACAAATGTACATGTTTCCTCTTATATTCTTGACTGGTTCTTAGCAAGCATTGGCTTGCTTTTTCTGTGACCATTTAAGAATGTTACCATTCAGGGAATGGCACCCTGCTAGCTCAGAGGTTAAAGCACAGCACTATGAAGCAAATTGCAGCCACTACAGCACCAGTTTGATCCCCCGCCAGGGAGGTGACCCACATGGTATGACAGACCTCTCCTGGCCTGCCTGCACCTCCCCTCAGTAGTATATTTTGGTCTATCTGCCTGTTCTGCTCCCCACTCTGTGAAGCCTTTCACCCCCTACACCTCTCACCAGTACCCTAGTTCTTGTATAAATAAATAAATCTTAAACGAAATGTAGAAAGAAAACTTTCTTCTACAGTTAGACAAATAAAAAAACATTAAAAAAAAAGAATGTTACCATACAAGCTATTAAGACCAAAATCATCTCAATGCTCGTGACTTACCGTAGTCCATGTTATCTAATTCTACATATTATTGTTTCCTACTTTATTTTCTATCTAATTAATCTGTCCATTGGCGAAACTAGGGTTCAAAGTCCCCTACCACTACTAACTGCCATTGTTAAAGATTTCATAATTTTTACCTTATGTATTTTGATGCTTCTACATTTTGTGAACATTTATTAATGAGTGCATGTCTTTCTAATATACAGTGGTTTAATTGTTATATAGAGTCCTATCTCGTTACATTTTCAAGCTGGATATCTATTTAATATGTTACACAGATGCCTGTTCTTTCTTTTCTATTGGTCCCATTTGCTAGTAAGATTATTTTTCAACACTTAACTTTGAGCCTGTGTTTCTCTTTGGAGCTCATGTGCATTTCCCAGGGACAGCAAAAAGCTGCATTTTGCTTTCTGTTCCTCTGGGTCATTTGATTGGTGAGTTTAATGCATTCACATTAGTGTGGTTATTGATATATGAGGGTCTATGCCTCCATTTAGTCCTTAGTTTTCTGTTTTTATATATTTCTTTGTTCTGTACTTTTATGTTCTTCTCTTCAAACTAGACATGAGGTGCATTTTAATAGTTCTTCACTGGAAGCTTTTGTAAATTCCTTCAGCTTTGGTTTGTATCAGAAGACCTTTATTTCTCCCTTATAACTGAAAGAGCGTCTTGCTCAATGTAGTATTCCTGGCAGGCAGTTTTTATTTCTAGGTGTTTTGAATATGTTATTCTAGTTTCACTTTGCCCATGTATTTCCACAGAGAAGTCCGATAGAAACCTGATGGGGGTATGTGTATAGGTTATCTGTTTTTCCCCACTAGCCAGTTGTAATATTTGTCTGGAACTCTTGAAAAAGTCACAAGAGTGACTTTATGACCTACGTAGATCTCGTTACATCGAGGTAGCTAAGCATTCTTTTTAGATTCACGAACTTGTACATCTAACTACTTTTCCAGTTTTGTGAAGTTTTCCTCTATTATTTCTTTAAATGCATTCTCTGTTCCCTTCTGGAATACCCATTATTCTTGTTTACCTTTCTTCATGGTGCTATAATATTTTCAGAATTTATACATTTTTTTTCTTTCTATGTATTTCTCTTTCTACTCCTACTTATATTCTCCATGCATTACTATTTCCAAGGTAACCAGCTCAATCTTCCAATTGATCTGTTTTACTTCCATTGCTTTTTCCAGAATTCTTTTTGTCTCTTCTATTGAACTTTTGCAATCCCACCATTTTCTTATATAAAGCTTCAATTTCTATTTTTTGATCATTAATTTCATTTCTCAGCACATTGTTTTTCTGAGTTTTCTTATATATCTTTGATGAACTTTCTCTCTGTGTGTATGTGTGTGTTTTTACATTTCTTTGAATTTCTTTATCATGGCAATTTTGAATTCTGTATATGATAGGAAGAAAGTAACTTCCATGCCTTAATGGTTGGATTCTGGAGATTTGTTCTCTCTTTATGGTGAATATTCACTTGAGGATTTTTGGTGCCAGGCTATGTATTTTCCATTTATCTGTTTATCTTGTCCATTTGCTAGCTAAGTAACCTATGTGTGCTGAATTTCCACTTTTCCAGTAGATGGTGCTATGGGATTTTTTTTTTTTTTCTTTTAAAGCTCTCCCTGGTTTGTTTCAGGGATTTGTTTGTAGGGGAGAACTAATCTGCAAAACTGAGTCAGTGGGTTGGAGAGGGGTTGAAAGTACTGTGTGGGGTTACTCATGTTTGTACACCACTGATAAGCCCCTCTCTCTGGGTTCCTAGACTCAATATCTCTATTCCCTAAGACCACAATTTCAATGTGATTCACAGGATCAGTTGGAGCCTTAAGGGGTTGCAGGACAACAGGCTCAGTTTTACATCCTATTTTCTTCACTAGAAACTTGGATGTTCGACTAACCCCAGCCCCTGAGCATGTATCTTCCCTTGGGTAAGGGTATGCCTCTACACCCATCAGCTCTCTCTTGCCCATGACTGCCAGACAATGATAGTGTAGGTTTGCCTGCTGGCTCCCACCCCAGCCACAGTTTCCAGGTATCTTTCTCCACCCATCTTTTATTTCATAAAGTTGAATTCTTTAGTGTCCCCTATGCCATGGTGCCATGGTCTGCACTAGTCTCCAGTGGGGCAAGGTGCTCTAGTCTTGTCTAAGTCACAGGATTCTCTGGGCACAGTAACTCTGAACTACTTTCAGAACAAAGCAGGGAACCTGCTTTAGTGCCATTTTCTCCCTTCCTCTGGAACTCATTTTTTTTTTTTTTGCAAAACTCACATTCTGTGCCCATGAAACTATACGTCTTCACTCCTCTCCCTGCAGCCCCGGCAAACACTATTAATCCTATCCTTTATCATTGACTTCTTTCACTTACATGTTTTCTTTAGGGTTCTTCCATATTGTAGCATGTGTCAGAATTTCCTTCCTTTTAAAGCTGAATAATAATACAATATATGTAGATATCAGATTTTGTTGATTCATTCCTCCATCAAGGGACACTTGGGTTTTTCACCACTTGGTAAATATGAATAATGATGCTTATGAATACTGATACAGAAATATGTACTGTGAAATGGAATTACTGGATCCTACAGTCATTCTATGGTTAATATTTTGAGAAAACAGTATTCTGTTGTCCATAGCAACTACTATTTTACATTCCCATCAACAGAACCCAGGGTTCCAATTTCTCCATATTCTAGGCAATACTTGTTATTTTCTGTTTGTTTTATTTTAATAGCAGCTGTCCAAAGGCTGTGAAGTGATATTTTACTGTGTTTTGATTAGTGATGTTGAACGTCTTTTTCTTTGCTATTGGACATTTGTCTATCTTCTGTGAAGAAAATTTTATACTCAAATTCTTTGTCCTTGTCTTAAAGCAGGTTGTTACAATCTGTGTGATAGATTTGTAGGAGTTTTAAAAAATATATTTTTTGGATAAACTCTTTATCAGATGTATGATTTGCAAATATCTTCTCTCATTCTGCAGATTGCCTTTCTACTCTACTGATTAACTTTGATATATTGAAATCTTAAATTTTTATGAAGTCCAATTTATCTTTTTTTTTCTTCTGTTGCTGATATTTTTGGTGTTATAGTCAATAAGTCATTAATAAATCCAATGCCATGAAAGTTTTCCTCTAGGTTTTCTTCTAAGAGTTTTATAGTTTATACTCCTACATGTAGATCTTTGACCCATTTTGAGGTGTTCTTATATATGACATACCATTTTGTTCTTGTGTATATGAATATTCAATTTTCCCAGCACTATTTGTTGAAATTCATTCTTAAGTTGTAGCATAAAGAAAACCCACCAGATAGTCTTAAAGTCCCATCTGGCACTTGATGTTTTTTGAATCTGCTCTCTTATGTCAGTTCTAACTGATACATTACAGTTCCAAATTATGTCTCCTCACCCTTTAATTTAAAATGTAATGACTAAATCTGCATTTATTTCATCTACATCAAATTGATTTTTTCCCCACATTCCCTTAAATCATCACAGTTCTAATTTTTAATATATTTTGATCTATCAGAGTAATATGTTATGAGTGGTATATAAGAAGTTTCCCACTATATTATTTCTGTAGATTGTCTCTTGTAATTTTATTTTATGTAACTTTGCTATATTTAATGTCATCTTAGATCCACTACTGATTTTCTTTTAAATCTCACTTCCTGATTTTTAGTTTTAAATGCTAATTTGATAATAAGATTATCATATAGTATCAGATGTAGTCTTGGGCAAAAACCCAGCTCTGTACATTCCAAATGGTTTAAATAAAGAAACAACTGAAAAGACTCATTTTAGAAGCATACAGAGGTATAAGGGAAGGCATAAAGGGTAGTGGCTAACAATATTGCATGGTCTTCATTCCAAGCATATAGAAAGGTAAGTTGTAAAACACTGTCGATTTATTTTTGCAGTTATTGCATTTTTTTCCTTCTTACTGACATTCTACTTATGCTTTTACTCTTTTTTTCTAACTTGTCTCTTGTTTTCTTTCTTTTTTTTGTTATATAGATTTACTTTTTAAATGTTTTTTTCAATGATACAGCCACTTTAGTTACTTAAGTTATTTAGCATTTTTCTTCTGTAACTTTTCCCTTCTGATGTTTGTAAATTTATAAGGGGTTCATAATTTCTCTTCTCTAAAATCTATATAATACTTTTTCTAAAGAATCACTTTGTCATTACATTAAAGTTTGTCCACATTTACCATTTATCATTATAATCATTAGGAGCTCTTTCAGTTTCATTGTCAATTTCTAATACTAAAATATACCCCTTCTTAAGCCTTTATTTTTGCTTCATTTTTCAATTCATCAACTTATTTTTGTTGTTACACTTTTATTTTCATGAGTAATCAAGAATGATCTGTTTTTTGAGAATTTGCCTACAAATATACATATGACATTTTAAAGTTTGGGATTCTTGTTTCATAACATGTTCTCCTCAAGTTCTATCATTTTATAAAGACAGTCCAGTTAACTTGTATTCTTTTTGTAAATACGATATTTTCTCTGTGTACTTGGGTAGAGACCTTTATTCTATGAGTTCAAAATTTTGCCAAAATGTGTCTGAGACTCTTTCTGTGCATACCATAGTTAAGGCTTTGAACTCCAGAATGATGTTTTCTTTATTTTTCCTAACTTGAACTATCTTTGATGATTATACTTTCAATTATTGCCTTTGTTGCATTTCACTTATTTCCCCAGAAATATTCATCAGTTTTAGAGCATCTATGTACTCCTTCCATTCTATGTACTCCTTCCATTCCTAGGATAAACTTTTTCATAATTTCGGTTTTAAATATTTTATTCAATGAAGAACACCTTTTCTGGGCATGCTTTTAATAAAAACACAAAGCTAAGAAGGATCCATTTTGCTTCTTTCTCAGTAGTTGCAATCCTTCCAAAATGACCCTCATAAAGTTTGACATTGACCTTCTAACTTCTAAATCCTAGATATATTTTCAGTCTTTACTTGATGTGTATAACATATCTTTCAGGAAACTAGCAGCCTACTGTTGTCCACTTTCCTTTAAATATGCCGTCAGTTTCCTCACACCATAGCCTCCTATCCCTAAAGTGGTAGAACAAAGCAAAACCTGTGTATGGACCAAAGTAATCTGACCCTGCTACTTTGGAAGACAAGGTAGACACAACACAGAAGTTAGCTCTATTGTTTGGCAGAAGTCCCACTTCCAGATAGGTGGAGATTTATATCTACCTATCACTTGACCTGTGTCACAGTAGAGGTCCTCACCATTGTCTTGCAGTTTTCATCTGTCACTGTAAAGGCTTACATTTTATAAAATAATAGCTCACTCCAGCTGGTAACTTTTATCTACGCCTTCTGACGTGTCTCCTTACTTCTTATTTTTTCACCATCTTTAGTGGCTGTTCAAACTCTAGGAAGGTATGTCAAATGGATTTTTAAATTTAATCACTATAGAGATGGTTTATTGTCTTATAGCTTAGGCAATATCTGGTTTGGAAGCTTCCTTTATGGCGTTTCTAGACAGAAGTTTCTGTGAAGATTTAAGCTCTCTCACTATACATATATTCCAGTAGTGTGTACATATCCCAAAGGGCAGACTCTCCTGATTGAAAAAAAGGGAGTTTAAGAATGTTCTTCCATTCCAAGTTTATCCAGAAGCATAATTCTCTAAGAAATTCCACTCTTCCATGAGTGGCAGAGCTGTTTGCTTCTGTCCAGAATACAATACTAGACAGAACTAATATTTTCACGCGGAGGATAGTGATAGATAGTCCTCCCCCTAATGTACAGAAAAGTCTCCCCAAAATGTTCAGAACATGTTTTCCCACTCCCTTACATCTCTGGAAGAATGAAAATTGGGGCTATTACTCAGAATTAGGATGTGTACCACAAACAATCTTTCTATTGAAGAAACTTATCTATATGGCTAAGTAAACATCTGATTACAGGCATCTAGTCTTCATATGAGTCACTCTTTCCTCAAGTAAGTCCCCTGCTTCGCTAAGCCTCAGACCCTACCCCACTCCTTACCTCAAGATACTTACACTCCTTTACTTCTGAATCTACATAGATTCTATATACATACATAAGAAATTTATTTTTTCTCCTCCTTCTTTGGCTGATACTAATTTTTTTAGTAACAAACTCAAGAGGAACTCGGAGAATGGTGGAAATTTTCTATCTTCCCCTACAATAGATTGACATCTACCCATTTACATGGCAATTTCTTTTTAAAGATTTATTTATTTGTGCATACAGAACTGGGGTACAGGCCACAGGCTCAGGGGCGGTGAGAGGCTTCACCAGCAACAGAGTGGGGAGCAGAACAGGCAGATCAAGGAAGTATACTGCTGAGGGGAGCAGCGGGCTGGTCAGGAGACGTCTGTCACGCCATGTGGTCACCTCAGGGGCAGGTGGGATGGAGCTCATGTTGAAGTGGCTTAAGCTTTTCAGTGCTGTGCTTTAACACGCTGCGCCACCAGGGAGGGCCCTACATGGCAATTTTTTAATTTCATTGTTTTCTTTGCTTCTTACTGCTGTTTACCTAGACAGATACAAAATAGTCACTGTTTCGCCCCACTATCACCTATATTCACTTTTTTTTTCAGCGCTTACCTGTATTTTTTTGGTTTATCCTTTTGATATCAACTGTTGATCTTTTTATATCAACCAATTACCTTTTTATATCAACCTTGACTTCTATTTTTCAGACCCAGATAGCTTAACGAGATGGCTCTGTTTTATATTAGCAGCAAAAATAAACTCTAAAAACTTAATAAGGATTAACAAAGCATTTCTGTATTGAAGGTAAATAATCATGAAGTTTTCTGTAACTTTTCGAAGAAAACGCCATTCAGAAGTAGTATTTTAGCATATATTGTACTTCATACCATTCAGGGCAGTATAACCATCATTACTCATTTATAACAGTTTCTTTTCATCATCAGAAATTTTCACTGTTTCAAAGCAAGCATATAATTAAACATACTGTAAATTCACCATGTTAAATAAAGTATTGCCACATTTCTAAACCATGAAAATCCCAAATCATAGTGGACACTGAAAGGGAGAAGGTGATAATTACCAGGTGCCATAAGGTATATGCATTGGCATTAACATCTCAGCAGGAGCAAAGGTGGCACAATAGCACCTTCACAGAATGAGTGAGAGAAGCATCATTGCATACAGATTTATTTGCAATTATAAGACTTCAAGCTTCTGGTTAGCAATACTAAATGCATGGTATTTTTAGAGGATATTACTCTTTTGGTAGCATAATTGTCTTGCTATTTTCATTACCTGCATAATTAAAACATAAATACTTCTTGGTATAAAAGATCAGTGAAGACACTTGGTTAATATGTTAATTCATTTTTAAAAATCTTTTATAACCACTCAGAAGCCAGCTCTTTTGAGATTTGGTGAACCAGCTGGATTTTGAGAACACTCCAAGCAGGGCTGAGAAACTAGTTGCCTAAAGTATTTAAATTATTTAAAAAAAAAAAAAGCCTTTCTGACCTGATAATTGTATATATAATGTTTTGGCTGCAGCTATCAATACTCTAAATTTAGTCCTTTCAAAGGAATTATTTTGGTCAGTTTTCCTGATAGATTCCACACTCTTAAGTGTTCTGCTTAGGAAAGTTGCTTTAGAACCATCAGGGAAGTCAACTCTAGTTTTAAGGATTTTAGGTCATAAATTCTTAAGAATTTCAGCTCTTATGCAGGAAAACTAATAAAGGGGACATATTTTGCAAAACACTTTAGGAGCCACGTACTTGTGATTTGAATATGAATCCTGGCATCTTCATGGAACAGTCAGTCCCTGCCTGAATTCTAACTTTAAATGAAAGGAGCAGGGATTAAAATGACAGGATTACAGGACATGGTGCATATTGGTTTAAGACGAATGAGCAGAAGTGTGAGTAACTTAGCCAGTGTTAGTCATGACCAGATTGCTTGGCATACATCTGTGTGTCAGATGAACAAAGGCCAACAGCATTTGCAAATATGGTGACATCTGAACATGCAACTGCTTCTGAAAAAGCAATTTTTGAAAAACATTGTTAACACAGATATCAGATGTTAATTTTGAAATGAAAACCTTGCAATAATTCATGAAAATATTTTGTAGGGAAAAAACCAAGTTGACTGAAAATATGTATCAGTGATGAATTGTTTTCACATGAAGTTGTTGTAATCTAAATTAGTATCAGTTTTTTGCAGATATTTTAATTCTAGCAAAATATTCTTATACCTCAATATCCTAAGAGCATATATCAACCATGCATCTGTATTAATCATGTAAATTGACTACATAAAGGTTAATGGAAAAATCCAACCTAGAGAAAGTTTTCTCAATGGTAAATAAATTAATGAGGAATTCTTTGTAAGTGTTTCAGGCCAAACTGTCCTCTCTTATAGCAGTAAAATGAATTTTGCCTTAATATTTTTGTACCCTTTTTGAATAAACAGTTTTATGAAGTTTGCTATGAAAAAAATAAGTTTTAATGTTCTAGTTAGTGTCATGCAATCTTTGCTTTCATAAAGTAACGAGATTTTTATTTCGTAAAAAATCAAATGAAATTAAGAGAAAAACAGTTGCAAAAAAGAATACTGAAAATATTTTGGTTCTTAATTTAGTGGTTTATGGTAGCATGAGTATTATGGTATGTATTTAGAGTAATAATTAGTTTACAAATAAAGAAAATTTGCTTATATATATTTAAATTATTTTATGGTAATTTTTCAGTTAAAAATTTTTTTGACTTTTGCTATCAGCATGTAGTAACATAAGAGATGATCATTATTTCTTTGATGTAAGATTATAGATTCCTTAAACTTGGAATCATACTTTATTGATCATTTTTATTTTCTCCTCTCTTCTAATCTTGAGTGTATATCTTACCAGCTCTTAGATCTAATACTTCCTCAAATATTGGTTTTCAAAATTAAAATAAATATGAAATAAACAAGCTTTTGTCCTTTGTGAAAGATAGCATTTATGAACACAATACCATGCAGGGCATGTGATTAGTGTTAAGTTCTTGCTAAACTTACTTTATTTTGTTAAATTTAGATTCTTTGTATCAAAACTAAAAAGAATTTGAAAATTTTATCATGTTTTGGTTGAGGAAGTAACTAACTGCATAGTTTTTACAACAAAATTCTGATATTTTTCCTTTTGATTTATGAAAGCTGAAAATAGAAAGTTTTTTCATGAACAAGAAGTTGAAAAGTGCCTTATAGCCCTGTTGGGCTCTAAAAACGATGGAACTAAAATTGCTGCTTCCCAGGCCATTTCAGCAATGTGTGAGAATACGGACAGCAAGACGTTTTTCAATACCCAGGGTAAGCAAAGTGGAAAACCCTACTTTGAACACTTTTACGTTGCCATGTTCTTGTTTACACGGCTGTTTGTAAAGTCACATTTAATTCTTCCCAAAGGGATTCCGCAGTTAATCCAGTTGCTGAAAAGCGACAGTGAAGAGGTGGGAGAAGCGGCCGCGCTTGCCCTGGCCAACCTGACCACCTGCAACCCGGCTAATGCGAAGTAAGTGCCCAGCCCCAGTCTGACTTGCTTGGGTTGTTCCTGGGCCAGGAGACCAGGGTGAGCTCATTTCAGTCTCTTGGCTTTCAAGGCTCTTCATGTTCCTTTCACTAGTTGGGCTGATCCTTAGTCAGTCTCTGAAAAGAGTTATCAGATAGACCTGTTTTCCAAAGATATAACAAGATTTGACTGTTGCTGGACTATTGGGAAAATGTGTGGGCCATTCAATATAGGTAAAATAGGTTAACCCTTGTGGAATTTGCCACAATAAAACTGGATATATTATAGATAACATTACATAGACTTTTGATAGGTATTTTTAAAAATTTAAAAATCATTTTAAAAATGGCATAAACATAATTAAATCTAGAAATGTTTTAAAAAGTCAATTTAAATAAGATATGTGTAAGAGCTATGAAAAAGGGTTTGACAGGAGTGCTTGCTTTTCAAGTACTCTGGTATGTGACCTGCATTTAATTTTCAAGACAATCTGTCCACAGATGAGGAAATTGAGGTTTTGTAAATATTCCAAATGTTCTGAGCATACAGAGCAATTAAACCCAGGTTTTTTGGACTTCAGAGTATGTGTTCTTCCATTTACAGAGCTCATTACCCTATAAAGGAAAACTTCTATATAAAAAAAAAAAATTACCCTTGACATATTAGGGCTTCCCAGAGAAACAGAACCAATAGGGTATTGATAAAAATGAAATTCTACTAAGTAAATTTTAAAGATCTTACTGACTTTTTACATTCCTTATTTGGACAGTTTCCAATCTAGCAGATAGAAAGGAGCCTTGAGAAACCACACAATGAACAACTTTTACAGGTGGAAGGGAATAAGAACAAGGAAGTTAAACTAGCAGAAAGTGAATTGGTTGTGGCAAGATCACTGTCTTTTAGGGTAGGGCAGCGTCTGTCAGGCAGATCACCACATTAGTGTCAACGAGTTGATTCCTGATTGACTGGCTTAAGATTCTATTTCTGGAAGAGAGCAAACCTGTAATTAAGTTAATTCTAGGGCCCTCCCTGGTGGCACAACAGGTTAGGATGCAGCACTGCAAGCAGCCACTGCATTTTGAGTTAGAGCCCTGCCCCAGAGGTCATCCACTTGGCATAATGGACCTCTCCTGTCTCGCCCACAGCTCCCCTCAGCAGTGTACTTCCTCAGTCGGCCTGTTCTGCTCCCCATTGTGTCTCTGGTGAAGCCTGACACCACCCCTACACCTCTTGCCTGCACCCCAGCTCTATAGGCATATATAAGTAAATCTTTAAAAAAATTAATTCTAGACTTAGTGACATGGTACTTAACATAAGCAATTTCATTGGGGGCCTAATGTCTTGTTTTTAACATAATAGAGAGAGAGAGAGGATAGGTGATAGAGAGAGATTAGAGAGATTGATAGATTAGATAGATGACAGATAGATAGATAGATAGATAGATAGATAGATAGATAGATAGATAGATAGATAGATAGATAGATAGATAGATAGATATTTGTTAGTTACGGAAATTGCCTCATGGGATTATGGAAGTCTAGAAGGACCCAAGTTTGAGATTTGTAATCTAGAGCTAAAGTAAGCTGGTAGTGTAATTGAGTCCAAGTCTGAAGGCCCAAGAATCAGGAATTTGATGTCTGAGGGCAGGATAAGATGGCTCCCCCTACTCAAACAGACAGCAATTCAACCCTGCTTCCTGTTTTTTTCTCTGACCTGAGTGGGTTGGGTGCCATCTGCCTTCATTGGCAAGTGTCACCAGCTATACCCAGTTTACCAACTAAAATGCTCACCTCTCCCAGAAACACCTTCACAAACAGTTTTAAAAATACTGTTTTACCTGTTGTGTGTATCTTTTTTCCCAATCAAGCTGATAAGTAAAATTAACCATCAAACTATGTTATTAAATTTCATGTTATTGTTTTATGGCACTGTGGCTAAAATTACCTTTTTTTCAATTTGAATTAAGCCCTCCACCCCATGACATACTTAATTCCTTTCTCTGATACTACACAAGTATTTTAGTAGTCACTTGTAAATGAATGACTAAAAATCTAAGTGCCAAAGAAAAACAGTTGAAATGTATAAATATCAAAAGAAAATGGTTTTACTTAATTAGCCACAATCTTTGATGGAGTAATTATCTAAATCCTGGGTTATCATCATCTGTGTGAAAGCATAGAAATTTTAGAGCATTAAGTCATAGTAAGCTGCGCTTTAAAAATAGTACATTTAATGATTTTTTTCAGTATGGTAATGCCAGTGCAAAAATATTATATAAAACATCTCTTATCTTACTATATTTAGGTTTATATAATGTCTAGAATAATGGCCTCTAGAGTGTATGTGTATAGATTTGATGTTTTATTGGGTTCTATAGTTTCACTGTTATATATAAATCATAGAAAATAGGATAGTAAGTAGGTCATTTTCAATAAAAAAGTCTTCTACTCAGGTAGTCTAAAAAATTAGCTCAAGTTTAGTGAATGTTTCTAACATCACATTTTAGATAGAACCATTCTGTCTTGTCACCATTTCTATAAAGTGAAAGTCCTAGAGAATGGAGGCTGAGTCATGGCTCTGCTACGGGGGTGGCCAGAGTTGGGGGTGAATGGTCATCAAACCGGTGTAAGGGAAGAAGTGTAAGACCAGAGCTAATGCCTTCCATGTGCATTTCATAGCTATTTGGATATCTAGTAATTTTTAAAATGCAGTTAGACATTTTGAATATTAATTTTATTTCTTAGAATGTAACCCCTCACCCCTACACTCGTACTTCATGTGGCTTAAATAGACTTCTATTGCTTAATTCAAGATATCTCCAGGGGTTGGAGACTCATTTCATAAGTTGAGTAATGATGTGTTATGATAACACATAATGCTGGTGTAATTACCTTTATTTAATGGACTTTGACTACGATGTTGTAGGTAAATGAAAGAAGCAACCATTATTGTTATATATGAAGGTTGTCCATTTAGTTAGCTTGGCTACCAAAATTTTCCTTTTTGGTCTACTGCTAATCTTTTGGACAGTTTCAACTTGGTGTTTTTTTTGCAGAGGAGAAAGTTGTTCTCTTTTGAAGTAGAAAATACTATTTTCAGCTAAATTTCATTATATTTAACTTAAACTCTCTTATCCAATTAGTCATATCAGAATTTTACATTATTTATTCCCAGTAGAATTATTGTTAGTTGATATTCTTGAGGGGCTGAGCATAGATATTGAAAAAGTGTTTTAAACAATTAATTTATCTCATCACTGCCATCTGTTAAGTCTTACCAGAATTAATGTTTTTAAGTTATTCCAAGAATTAAAGTGTTCAAAGTTGTTCATTCCCTTTGCCAATACTAAATTTTGGCTATTGGTGAACTATGAAAAATTAGGAAATATAGTTGTTGACTAGTTTTTTTTAAAGAAACAATTATAAGACATAAAATAATGACTAAAATATTAAAGGAAATAACTGTTTTAGTACTTATGTAGATTAGCAAAAACTGTGGATTTTCTATAGAAAATACATAATCAATTCTCTCTTGTTTATATGTAGAC